TTGAGTTATCCCACTGTCTGTTTAGCCTTGAATACTAGGTCCACTATTCTGAGTCTTGAAAAAACATGGCCAAATAAACATTGTTATGGTTCACCGGACACCTAACTAACCCTCATTTTACCTTTTTACATCCTCACCAGGACCACCAGCATAATTTCTCTATTAACCATAAACACTTAACTGTACATATAGTCAAATTAGCTTAGTGGGGCATCTTACAAAGCCTTAGTGCAGACCAGAGAGATGATCAAATAGCTGTAGAATCACGGCCAATTGATTTAATGCTGATCTGACCCTTAATTAACAAATGAAATAAAATATTCTAATAATATCTTCTAAAGAAGCTGATTTCCTTCTGCGTTAGCTGCAATATGCTGCATGTCGCCTTCATCCTGCAGCTGACAGGTCTGTTTCTCTGCATCCATCTGTTGCAGCACATGTCCAAATGAGACTGAACAAATTCATAAAGGAGGATGCATCTGTCCTGGTGGCTCTCATTAGTACAGAAGGTTAAGCAACTAAAGTAAACTCTGCTGCAGTAGATGCCAATGTAGTAAATCACTCCTATCCACGGTGGCTGCTTATTCTATAACTCATGATTATAATCCAGGTCTTAATTTTTTTTATACATTCTGTATGTCTAGGAGTTTTTTTTTTTTTTTCATATTTATTGTCAAACCTATTAGGAACCTTTTTTTTTATTTCAAGAGAAAAAAACACTGCATTTTCATTTTAGAAGTCTTGGTATCAGAAAACAAGATGGTTATTTGAGAAGTAGCGGAAGGCCCACAGCATCACAGATCCTTCACTACAAATACTGTTTGGGTATGAGATGCTTTTCACCCATTTTTACTTTTTTTTCCATCCCAGGCACTCCTGTAGTAGATCTTCCCTAATAACTCAAAATAAGCTTAATCCATTAAAATACATCTTGTCCTTACAGATCCCATAAAGACTAATTTTATCACAATGTTTTTTGCTGCTTTTTCAGGTGCTTTAAAGTGTGAACTATGCTCTAGCTGTATTTTGGAATAGTTAGGATGATAAACTACAAGCTCAAATGAACAGATATGTTTTATGTTTTTTCCCCAATAGTATATTTCATTTTTTCATTCCTATTTGAAGAAGGTAGAGAAAATGGCCTCTGTGCCAATTCCAATTAGTAAAGGAGATGATGGATAAGGCGCTAATTCCAAGACACACCTGTCAGCTAAGGAAAAGAAATAAAAAAAAATGAAGTTATAGTTATTTAATAGGAATTTATAGTGCCCCCACTAATTGTGACACTGATAAATTTGTTAAAAAACAATTTTTTTTCAGATCATATCTGTTAGAAATCCAGTTTGTGTGGGTTGTTTGTGTGTTTTTTTCCCCTCCACCATCAGGTGGTGTCCTGTCCTCGTTGGGCCTCTCTGCACACCGAGGGCTTGTTGGATCATTACTGGAGGAGTATTTGAGCAGTGGGCTGTCACTACCTCGACGCCAGAGTATTTGCCAGTTTTGGGTACTCTAGCCAAGCTGAGGTTTGCAGAGTCTAACCTAAGCTTTGTTTCTCTGAGTCTTACCTCATTTTTGTCTTTTCTCTTCGGCCGGAATCCTTCCTGAATAACTCGATACCTGGACCTTCTCCCCTTGGAATGATTAACTGAGTACACACTGAGCAGGGGAAAACCTCCACATGATCCGTTCAAGTCCTCTTCGGAAATCCAAGTGACAGTCCACTCCTTTACTCCTCTGGGTCCAACGCTTGTCTATCTTTCCGCTCTCCAACGAGTTCCCTCTTCTCTGGATTAACCCCCACAAGCTGGATTCAAGGATTGACAAGAGCACCCTCAAACACTTTCCAGTTCCTGTTCACCAGTCCACTTAGTTCCAGATCCAACATCTGTATTTCATCTACATTTAATAAACCTGTTAAACCTTTTCCCTTGGTCTCTGAGTGGTTCTCTGCATGTGGGTCACATCGCTTAAATCAATCATGACAATATCTACTTTTTTAAAGTGTGAAATAATGTACATGTAATCAATTGATTTGTGTTTTTTTATGTTTAGGTAATTAAATAACCTATATTGATGAAGTATCAAATGCTTTTAATGTCAGAAATACATCTTCACCTGTAGGAACATTATGTCACAGTGCCTAGTTAATACCATGCAATGCAAACATTGGACCTTTAATTGTCTACAGTATTTGATGTCATCATTTCTCTTTTTTTAAATATCCAAGTGTATAATTAGTTATATACTCTTGAATCAGTTGCAAAACTAAAAGCATCTTAAACTGCCTGGCTTTCTCCTTACCTTCTATACTCAGCAGCAGAAAATGATGTATCCTGATTCACACCCAGCCACCCTCAAAATGGTTCTTCCTCATGCTCCACTGCTGCTCTCTGAAAGCATTTAGGGATAATTTGGTTTAATGATGGTGGGAACACCTTCAATCAGTCATTACTCAGTACCTGTGATTAGTGAAATGTCCATCAGAGTGCCCAGTGGGGGAGTAAAATGCCCAGGTGATCTCACAACAATCAGCCAAATGGCCTAAACCTGAGTGACACACACACACATAAAATCATACGCTCTCCTTTTTTTTTATGGAGCTTTATGTCAGCCATAAGCTATTTCCATTAAAACTGTGCTGTATTAAGCATTTGGGTTAAAAGCTTTCTTAATCAGGTGTGCTCCGATTAGGTGTTTAGGGATTACAAAATCAATACTGTCCTCAGGGAGAAAGCTGTGCTCACTTTGTAGTTTTGTGAGCATGCATGGAGCAAAAAAGGCTCTGCAGAATCAGAGCTGTGGACCTTGAGAGAAACTTGCACCCGGAGTCCTGCAGACTCTGTGGCTGTTTCCCAGCCTGACGCCTCCTCATCTAATCTGGAAGTCCACGACGTAGACGGTTACTGCAGCTTGTTTAAAGTCAAGCCCATTAATGAGCTTTTTTTTATATCATAATTCTTATGGATGGTATCTTTGTGCATAGATAAGCACTTGTCTGCTAGTGAGTAGGCGTTCAGGGACTTTTAGAAAAAAGCATGCCAGCAGCAGCATTTTTTTTTTTTTTTTTGCAAATGCCTCCTCTGCAACTAGATCAATACGTTAGGTCTTGAGGGTGGAGGCAAAGTTGACCTATGTTAGCATTTTTTTTTTGTAATCATAGTCTACGAAAAGGATGTTTTTCTTCCCAAGCAATGCGGTTTTTCAAATGAAACTAATATGCATATATAAAACAACTGTTTAACTGTAATAAAAACATCTCTTTTTTTTTTTTTCTACCCTGCAGTCTTTTGCTTCTCAAACACACTTCTCAGTAGTCTACTTGTTACCTCCAGATGTTTCCAAATATTTGCATCCTGACAAACTGTAATGCCGCTATTTCTGATAGCATTCCAATGAGGCTGGCCTTGGCCCTGACAGAGCGGTCTAACATGGCTCATTGTTCCTGTGCTCAATAGGCAGCACATGGCGTGGGCAGCCGTCAGTGGGGCTAAATTTGTGCCTCTCTGCTCATTCCGCGGATATTTGTGACTTGCTCCTTGTTGACTTGTCGTCCTTCTTGCTGACAACGGGCTCTGTGTGTCACAACGCAACTAAAGCACTGCAATTGTGCACAATTAGGCTGCAAAATGCCTGGGTTATGCATCCTGACAGATTAGAAAGACTTTAAACACTTCCCATATAAGGTGATGACCTAGTGGTTAGAGCAGTGCGCTTATCCTCTGAGAAAGTTTTAAGTAGCTGGTTCGATCCACACAGCCTGCACTCTGTGTCCCTGAGAAAGACCCTTAACCCCCGATTGCTCCCCAGGCCCCGCACAGTTGCAGCCCACTGCTTCCCAAGGGGATGGTTTCAGATGCAGAAGTGAATTTCTCCGTTGCAAGATTAACTATGTTCAATTATTATTATTTATTACATAAGAGGTAATGCAGTTGAAGGTTTTTAACGTAATTTAATGGTGTGAGCTTCATTTAATCGTGCCAGATTTTAAATAACTGCAGCCATTGTTAGTAGAGAATGGAAATGTGTCCTCTAAGGACACTGCAAAAGACTGGAATATATAAAGAGCCGGACCGAAAAAAATTAAAAACAATCCACTGAACTTGGTTTCCAAGCTTGAAGACGTTTTGCTTCGCATCCAGGAAGCTTTTTCAATTCAAAATGTCAGGAATAGCGTTGAATTCGAGGCTATATACAGTAGCCCAACAAAGACTTGTTTTTGTTTTGAAAACATGCAAATTGGAGCAGACGAAGGGGTCCACCCCTTTGGAATGGGGGTCGTTTGGCTTCTATTGTTGGAATTGAACTGAATTGAAAAAGCTTCCTGGATGGGAAGCGAAACGTCTTCAAACTGGGAAATAACAAGTCCAGTGGATTGTTTTTAATTTTTTTTCGGAATGACTACAACCTGGATGACTGAGAAC